ATGGTGGTGACCGGCGGTGGTGACTAGGTGGTGGCTGGTTGTTTGCAGTGGCGGCGACGATGGTGGTAAGCAGCAGTGGTGACTAGTTGTTGTTTGCAGTAGTGGTGATTGGTTGATTTCTCAAAATTTCAAAGGAAACCCGTTTTCTAAAGTTGTGTTTTCAGAAATAATTTTTCGGAATGACAAAAAAAACACATTTTCAATATTTTCAAAATAGACACTCAAAACACAAAACACAAAACGAATTCAAAACTAAAAATAGAAAACTGAAATACAAAGAGAACGCCCCCTTAATTACTGAACTTGATGTTACTAAAAATTGCACATGCTATTGCAAGAGCTAGTTTTAGATCGACTATATCACGAACAAGACTTTCTTGTTTCTAAAACAAATCTTTAAAATTTTTAAGTTAATATTAATAATCTTGGAGAAGATAAGCGTAGAGCTATAAAATAAACAAATTTAATCACACCTGAATAATAACACAAGTATATTTATAGTGCTTTGTGGTGTACGTCTAGGAGATTAGGACACGTGAGGTCGTGTATGATTTTATAAGACTTCTAGTAAACATAAGAACAGTAATGTTACGTGTACAGGGAATCCGCAGCACGTAAGATGCATGCCACGTGTGCATCTTTAAGGCTATCTGTACGCATCAAAATTCACCTAAGAATCTTGATGCCATTGAACGTGAGAGTCCTAATAAGAAATGTACTTCATTGAAAGAATCATAACATGATCGATATAATATAATCGTAACAAGATTATGCAATTCTAATAATTGGGTCACCAACCTTGGAGACGTCAAGTTCAAAGACCTCATAGTCATGTTCATCCTAACGGGATTGTGCAATGCTGAAAGTTGGGTTCAACTTTTATGTGATGAACAAAATCTATTCTGAAAATATTCTCGATTATCAAAACATTTTCTCAAGTTGCTTTATGTGAATAGAAAGAAGAGTTCTAAACACTGCAGTAAAAAATCGAGTTTAACCATTTTCTTGTAAATTTATTTTTCTATTTTAAAAAACTAAATTTGTAGATATTTCTTCCATAACTTAAGATTAACAACAAATGGTTTGAATGGTCCTTTCTACGCGAAATTCTATACAGTCCCGCACGAGGACGAGGAATTCGAGTACGACTCCCTCCCTCGGACTTCCCAAGTTATCGAATTTCGTAAAATATATTATTTTTAAAAAAATGAAAAAGTTGGAATTTCT